ATTATTTACGATAATTACTGACAATCTCGAAACTTTTTTGATCTGGAAAATAGGCATTTACTGAGTTTATCTGGCTTCTTTTGCGGCTTCATTCGCAAGCAGTGCAGACGCAACCTTTGCAATCGGCCCAGGCTCGGCTCCGCCTCGTCTCGCTTCTCGAACCTCGGAACTCTGCCGTCCAGCCCGTCGACGTCGTCCTTCACCGGGCGCCTCTGCTCTCCAGTCGACTCGGCTGGCCAGTTGGTCGGCCTCCTCTTGCACCCTTCGTCCGACACAGAATCGCCCGACCGGTCCTGATCTGAGTCCCGGATCCGGATACGATTTCGGCCCCGGTCGCCCAAGGCAGATCGCAGGCCGGCCAAGCCGATGTCCAGTCGACAATTGGCTCGTCCAATTGGTCTGTCGAGGACAATCTCTTCGGCCATTTCCTCGGTCGTGAGAGTGTTTGTGTCGCCCTGACAACGACTGGCGGTAGACACTACTGCTCTCCGTAGCACCGAGTAGATGCGCACCGGGAGACGAGGCAACAGCTTTCCGAGGTGGCAGACAGAAAGAAAGGCAACAGACAAGTCTGTCTTGTTAGTCCCTCATGAAAGAGCAGATACTTAGTTGTAACCATGACGGTCAGTATGGTGTGACCTCCTTTCGTTGTCTAGGGTTACTCTGACCTCGTCTACCCCACTTACTCATGTTGTCATTTGGACTGTGGATAAAACACCTGATCCTCTACAATATGGGCTACGCTAGTGTTCTGTCTCGAATCACAAAATTGGTATCATAATCGCCAGTTCCAGTGAGCCTTATCATTGTAAAAACCAACCTACAGACTGCCAACGGCACAAGTGAAGTGCAAATCTGGACGTAATTTTCGGCTAAACGGTATTGCTATTTCTAAGCGGCTTATCTCACTGCTGCTCTGTGAAAACTTTGACCTTGGAATAAATGAATAGCTGCCAAGTCGCAACAAAAGACTACGATTGAGAACTAAAATCAAAGCACTAGGGCCAACTCCTCCGGTCTGATAAACTCTCAGGAACAAAGTGAACCTTGTAAATATGAAGAATAATTGGGTTTCAATGAGTCTCCTTACATAACATTGCAGGTGAGACTTTCATTTTGTATGAAAGTGCATGAAGGAGAAATTCGAAGGTTTATCTCACTCGAAGACGATGGCTAATTCCCGTTGTCTTGATCATAGTTGCTTACGGACTAACGCAATCTCGGTCAGGGCTTTTTATTTGGTCGTCTAGTCTTCATGACCAGAGCCTGAAATCTAGTTTATTTGATAACTGTGATTTAGACCCGGTATTTAGTATTGACCTTAACATGCACACACACACACACACATGTACCCGCACACACACCCGAGTAAAAGTAGCATGAATAATATGAAGATGAGTAACCAAATCATTCTGTCTCTATCCATGTTTAGACATTTTTGGATTTAGCTATGAGCATACATAAAACGTGGGATAGGACCTGACACCATTCTTAACCTGGTGTTAATTTGAGACTTTGATACTGTCCATCGCATGATAGACGTAAACTCGTCGACTGTGTAAACATTAACTTCATGTTAAAATTGCAGTAAAACGGGGATCAGCCGTCTCTTTCTGATGAGATCGACCTTCTAATCTCCTCTTCATGCACTTTCATACGAACAAAGTAAAAATTGTCTGTACCTAAAAACGTGCACACACTCCTCCGAGAACCAGCTTATGACAAATTAAGAGCAAAACTTATTTACCGCAGTTGTCAATAAATCCATGTCCAAATAGAAGTGATCAAAAATCCTTGTGGCCATCCAAAGCCTGAAGGCTGAACATTCGATAATGAAAAAAAGAAAGGTTCCACATTCCAACACATAATTGTCGTTTTTATAGATGCTTTCTCTTCCGAAGACAATGGCATTTCAAGCTCGCTTCTGTTTAACGCAACTTAAAGCCAAATCTTCTAGCTCTGGGGTAAAATGACTAAATTATAGTCATTTATAGAGTGAGTGTGACTTTAAAGGTTAAAAGGAGATTACAAATACTAAGATGGAATGGAGTTCTATTTTTAACTAAGATATTACTAATGAATATTTAAG